ACCGTTGTCCAACGCATGGACCGGGTGTGACCGTTGTCCAACGCATGGACCGGGTGTGACCGTTGTCCAACGCATGGACCGGGTGTGACCGTTGTCCAACGCATGGACCGGGTGTGACCGTTGTCCAACGCATGGACCGGGTGTGACCGTTGTCCAACGCATGGACCGGGTGTGACCGTTGTCCAACGCATGGACCGGGTGTGACCGTTGTCCAACGCATGGACCGGGTGGTAAAACATATCCAGTACGAAGATTTAAAAAGCAATGCATGTCCAACCCGAGGACTAAGTGGGAAGGGTGTCCAACACGAGGACTATAAGGTAATGCTTGTCCAACACGAGGACTGTGTAACTGTGAAAAGTATAGGCGGACAGATATACATAATCTAAACTCACCCGCATCTCGGTGTACATGTCTAAACTTGTGACATAAGTCAACCCACATGTACAGATAAGTCATTAACATGATAAGCTAGGGTCAGGTTATCGAGGCGACCCCGAAAGACAACTCAAACAGATCAAAATCTGTAAAACAGCTCATCAGTCGACTGATGTGTCGACTGATGACGTCAGTCGACTCATATGTCGACTGATGAGGCTCAGGCAGCACAGCCTCAGCTCGCCAGTCGACTGACCAGTCGACTGAGAAACTGGGAAAATAAAACCAGCCCGTCAGTCGACTGATCTGTCGACTGATGGCTACAAAATGTGCCCGTCGGTCGACTTATCAGTCGACCGACAGACTGCAGAACCTCTGCACAGATTGCTATATACCCCAAATTCGATCTAAACTCATTCCCATCAATCCCAAGCATGAAGATACTGATATTAACATGTAAGAACTAAACTGAAACAGAAATCCCATAAGTGAATACATGAACAAAACCCTAAACATGTGTACTTATGTTTTAAATCATTTTTTTGAAATAAAACTCATGTTAAATCTCATGTTAGAAACAAAACTCATGTTAAATCTCTTCTAATCACATTTCAGAACTAGATCTCCTTAATAAAACATTGTTGGTTCTTTTATAAACTGAGAGGCTCAAAACCCCACCTCATATACCATAAAGATTCGTTCTTTGTACAAAAAATACGTTTTTGGCTAAATCAAAACTCTAAAACTCAATAAATTCGTGTAAAAACAAAAGGGACAGAGTTGGGCGAGATGTTACTCGCCTCTGGGGTGATGAAGAGCTCCTGGATCTGAGGGGGAGTGATTCCTTTCGCTGCAAACTGAAAATCCCGCCGAAGATCCTCCGATTTCTTCCCCAAATCACCAAGAACAACTTAGGGTTTGAGAGAGGGGAGAGGGGGCTAGGGTTTCTCTGATCTGAGGATGAGAGGGGATGTTTTCGGGTGAGGTGGGATATATACCAATAGTTAAACCCGACCCAAACCCGAACCAAATCAAAACAGACCCGAAACCTGAAAAACTGGAAATCAGCGTATCAGTCGACTGATGTGTCGACCGATACAGTCAGTCGACTGATGTGTCGACTGATCTGGAAATTTTTAGTTTTTGTGCATGTTTTGCTTATTTGCAAAACCAACGCACAAAACTCTACACTCATACTCTCATATCATCTCAAATAACTTGTTATCATGTACATCAATGGCCTCAAGCTATTTATCATAAAAGAATTATTTATTTACTAATAATTCACATATATTCATATAAAAAAAATTTACGGGGTTCTACATGCATAACTGCCGAATTTTTAGTTCCACATTAGTTTGAAAAGTTCAGATATTAAGGTCAATCTCTTCAGACATAGACTATGATCTTTTATGATCATAGATCATGACCTAATGTCAATTTCAAACAATATGATGGACTAATTACAAAAAAAAGAACTTGATAAATAAATACAACGCCTGCTAGGCAAAGTTATGATTAGTTATGATTCTAGACTTTGTAAAGTCTGTGAAAAGAATCTTAATGACCCTTTGACTAAGGGATTATCCAGGAGTGTGGTTCTGGATTCATCGAGGGAGATGGGGTTAAGCCCATAGATGAGGTCACTGACAGCGGCAACCCAACCCTTATTTGGAGACGTAGTCCCAATGTCGGTTCAATGTGGTAGAAACAAGCTGGACAAGTGACTCTCGTGTGGAGCATCGACCTAGATATATTTATATATCATTATGTAGCATTTGCTACTACCCCTTCTCTATGATGACGATGCTCTTATGATACAGCTGGCTAGG